TTTCTCTACATTGTCTCCCATGTTCATTATTGTCTGACTTTTTGATTCTGGTCATCCTACTGGGTGTGAAGAATTATTTCACTGTGGTTTGAACTGCATTTCCCTAACGACCAATGATGTTAAACATCTTATCATGTACTCATTTTGGCCATTTGTATTCTTTCTTGGGAGAAATGTCTATTCAAATTGTTCAACCATTTTTTTTTTTTAGGGGAAAGCACGAACACAGCCCCCCACTACCACAAATTATGCAGTCGAGTTTCCCACATTTGGGGAAATAGCAGGGGTCAGCACATCCGGAGTGCAATGGATAAGCCCCGCCCTGGGAAAACCACCTTCGTGATCATGGTATCTCCCCTGCCAGGTAAGTATTGTTGTTCAACCATTTTTAATTGTGTGATCTGTCTTCTTGTTATTGAATTGTAAGAGTTCTTTGTGTGTGTGTGTGTGTGTGTGTTTTGTTTTTCAATTTTTAAAATGTATTTTTAAATTTTGTAACTGTAGGCGTAGGATAGCGATAATGGAGTTAGGGGACAAATTCATGCAATGAAGTTAATCTCACCTGGTGAATTGGATGTTGGGGGAGAAGAGGTAGATGTGGGTTTGTCTGTGTGTGAGTGGTGGGGGTGCTGTAGAAACTGGGTTTGAATCTTTTAAGTTGGTGAATCCTTAGTAGACATCCAAATGAAAATGTTAAAAGGCAGCTGGATCTATGAGCTCTGAATTCAGTCTGAACTGGAGATTGCTTTGGCAATCTACGTGTTATTTAAAGGCAGGAGACAAGATGAGCTCTGGAAATTTACTCTGGTAGAGAGAGGGGGCTTCCCTTCTGATCAGTTTGAGGACTGACAGATCAGTCATATATACATATACGTATATATATATATACACACACATATAAATTAATAAATATATATGAATAAATCTGTGAGGCACCTACCTTTAAGGGGACAATCAAAGGAAGGAGCACAGCAAAGGTGATTAAATAGGATTGTGGGGGAAATGATGAGAAAGCTAGGAGAGGAGGCCCCTGGCAATCTAGAGAGGAGGATGTTTAAATGAGACCCACTGTGCAGAGAATTGGAAGGTGGGCCCTGGGGCTTGGCACTGAGGGCATCAGTGATCTCAACAAGAGCGGTCTGGGGTAGTAGAGACCAGTCTGTGATGGACTGAATAGTGCAAGTGAGGAAGGAAGGTACCAAATGAAAAGGGAAGGAAGGAAGGAAGGATGAGTAGGGTGTGTGTGGGAGGAAGTCATTGAGTAAGAAACGTATAGAATTCAGTGGCAAATTTCCCATCTAAAAAATGTCTGTGAAGACCATAGCCATATGACTTTGAGCAAGTTACTTCATGTCTACTTCATCCACTAGTTGTGAGTATTAAATACTTCTGTATATTATGAAATGCTTTTAACAGTATCCAGTGCATACGAAACACTCAAAAATTCTCAAAATAAAAGAGAAGCTATTACTTTGATTTTTAGCATTATGTGACTATTGCCACCCTCACACAGGACAAAAAGTGACTCTGAACTTGAAATAGATTTTTTTTGGCGGGGGGAATCTCATTAGTACCAGAAACACACAAACTAAATAAGGATTGGAGAAGAGCCACAGGGGTGAGAATCTGTGTCCTTATTACTTGTTGTTTTCATCCTAATTGCCATCAGTACTGTCTACCAGGTAGCGTGGTCTCTTAGGGAATCAGGGTGACTGCATTTCTGATTGGACACGAAATAAACGTTCACCCCTGGGAGGTGTTATTTCTTTTAACTCCAAAGAACCAGCTGGTGCTATGAAAACAATTGGATTTTTCCACCTCCCTCAGAAAAAGCTTCTAAAGGAGCTCATTCTCTTTTCATGTGGGAACATTTTATTCACAAAAATCTTGGCTGAGTATCCGTCTAGTGGATTCATTAAGGAGAGTTTGGTACTCCACCTACTGGATCCCCTGATCCTTTTGACCAGAATGAATGCAAATGATTGCATGGTTTTTCTTATTGGGAGGGAGGAGAATGCTTTCAAGCAAGCCAATACAGATTTTTTTTTTTCTCTAAGAAGAAATAAGTGTTACTGGTTCTATGTATTATAGACCTTCCTCAGAAAAATCACAGTTATAAGTCCTCCATCTACACTGTGCTGCCCAGTACAATAGTCACGTTGGAATATGGCTTGTGCAACAGAGGAACTGAATTCTTAGTTTTGTTTACTATTCAATAATTTACATTTAAAAACTGATACATCAAGTTACTGGAAAACTTTTAAGTAAGTTTTGAACAACTGGAGTATGTAAATTTACTTTTTGTAACTAAGTTTTATGTAACTTAAATACAGATCGATAATTTTTTAGGAAAATTAGCATTTGAATTAAGATGTGCTGTGTGAAATATACAATGGATTTTGGAGACTTGTGAAAAAAGAATGTTAATGATATTATTATTAAACTATTAAATTATTAAAATTATTAACATAATAATAATGTTATTAACATAATATATAATATTATTATCAACACATTACTTATAATGATATTCATAATAATGTGTAATTATTATGACTTATTAATAATACTTCTTATTCATTACATGTTGAAATGATAATCATTTGAATCTATGGGGTGAAATAAAATACATTATTAAAATTAATTTTACCTATTTTTTTTTTTAGGGTAGCTACTGGAAATATTTCAATTACACATGTGGCTTGCATTGTGTTTTTATTTATACATTCCAAGCTTCATTGAAATCTATCAAAACTACTAAAGAGACACAAAAATCAGGATGGCTACATTTTATTTCAAGATAGTAAACTTTAAAATAAAGCTGTTCTGCTAAGTCTGAAGCCTTTTTTAGGTAGTGACTGTCTGAATCAGGCACATTTTAAAAAAAAATTATAGTGAGAGGAAGGGTATAAGAGTGCATGCCTAGCATGCTCTAGGTCCTGGGTTCAATTCTAGGTACCTCCATTAAAATAAATCAGTAAATAAATAAACCTAATTACCTCCTTCCCCCACCCCCCAAAAAGAAAGAAAAACTATAGTGAAATATTTGTGAGTTTGTTCTAAGAAAATATAAAAATACAGAGAAAGTTTTCTGTAAAATGAAAGTCATGGCAACCTCATTTATAATTAGGAAAAATTAAAAATAATTTGTATGTACAATAGTTTAAAAATGGTTGAATAATTCACAGAAGATTATCTTAACTGAATATCATGAAACTATTTTTTTAATTGAGTTATAATCAGTTAACAATATTGTGTCAATTTCCAGTGTAGAGCACAATTTTTCAGTTATACATAAACATACATATATTCATTGTCACATTCTTTTTCACTGTGAGCTTGTATATATTTCCCTGTGCTATACAGTATAATCTTATTTATCTATTCTACATATGCCTGTCAGTATCTACAAATTTTGAAATCCCAGTCTGTCCCTTCCCACCCTCTTTCGCCCTGGCAACCACAAGTTTGTATTCTATGTCTATGAGTCTGTTTTTGTTTTGTATTTATGCTCACTTGTCTCTTTCTTTTCTTTTCTTTTTTTCGATTCCACATATGAGCAATCTCATTTGGTATTTTTATTTCTCTTTCTGGCTTACTTCACTTAGAATGACATTCTCCAGGGAC